ATCCGTCGGACTGCGATCGCATTTCACGTTCTGGACAGTGCCACTCGGAAGACCTCGTCGTGACATCGGAGTGCCAAGCCGTTAGTGTCATGCTCACCCACTGACGACGTCCTCCGGTCTCTCTGCTGTTGCCAGGCGCGAATTGCGAAGAAACGAAAAAAGCTTTCAGGTGTATGAAAGAAAAAAAAAATGCTTAAAAAATGATTAAGTATTGTGAATGCCTTGTTATGCATGGATTTATTGATCTGCCTCTATTATGATTTTTTTTACTGATTCGTCTTCATTTCACTTTCCTTTGCTAACTGCTGTTGCTAACTCTTGCTGTGCACATTTACCCTTGGCTTTCTTTAAACTGTGAGTTTATACTTTGCAATGTGTGTGTGTGTGTGTGTGTGTGTGTGTGTGTGTGTGTGTGTGTGTGTGTGTGTGTGTGTGTGTGTGTGTGTGTGTGTGTGTGTGCGTGTTTGCATATGTATACGAAGCTTATATAAATCTGTGAAAGGAAGGACTTACATTATTCTAAGTAACATTGCTAGCGCTCCACTATAACATCATGGCGCAAAATCATGTATCTTTAAAATAACCACACAATCAGACCCAGCCACAAGTACGGTTGCGCCCTCGCAGTGCAACCACCATAGCAACCCCCCCCCCACCATTCCACCCCCCTCCCCCCACGCCACCCGCACCCCCTGACCTCCCTCTTCCCTCCGCCAGAGCGAGTGCGAAGCAGGACGCGATGACGTGCGCGACGGAGTTCCGTACGACGATGAGGACGACGACGCAGCCTCCGTCACGTCCCTGCCCGCCGAGCTCCCCCCTCCCCCCGACGGAGGCTGGGGCTGGGTCATCGTTGTGGTGTCCTTCCTCTGCAACGCCATCGTGGACGGCGTGGCCTACTCCTTCAGCCCCTACATCGACATCCTCTCCAAGCAGTTCGATGCACCCAAGGGAAAGGTGGCGTGGATTCCGTCCCTCCTGGCTGGCGTCTACCTCAGCGCTGGTATGTTTTTTGGCCTTTTATTTGATATATCTGTTCCTTGCCTTTCTGTGTTTCTTCGTTGCGTTTATCACTGAGGAGCCTTCTTCTCTTTTTGTCCGGAATCAGACAGAATCCCGCGGTATATCTGACACTGGGAATTGATCTGAAATATCAATATGTTGCGCAGACCCGTTCGATCAATTTCATTTCCACCTTTTGAAACCCTGAATCACCTGTTCCTTTCGCCCTCCTCAGGCCCCATCGTCTCGGCCCTCAGCAACAAGTTCGGCTGCAGGATCGTCTGCTGCGTCGGCGGCCTGGTGGCTTCGCTCGCCTATTTCCTTACCATTTTTGCAAACTCCACCGAGTACCTTATGGTGTTCCAAGGATGCTGCGCAGGTAAGTGCTGTGCATGACACTTATGCCTATAGATATACATACATCTAGGCAGAAATATATATATATATATATATATATATATATATATATATATATATATATATATATATATATATACATACATATATACATATGTATATATATAAACATATACATATACATATATATATATATATATATATATATATATATATATATATATATATATATATATATGTACACTATATATACATATATGTAATATATATTATATATATAATGTATGTATATAGATATATATATATATAGATATATATATATATATAGATATATATATATATAGATATATATATATATAATATATATATATATAGATATATATATATATAGATATATATATATATAGATATATATATATATAGATATATATATATATAGATATATATATATATAGATATATATATATATAGATATATATATATATAGATATATATATATATATATAATATATATATATATAGATATATATATATATAGATATATATATATATATATATAGATATATATATATATAGATATATATATATATAGATATATATATATATAGATATATATATATATAGATATATATATATATAGATATATATATATATAGATATATATATATATAGATATATATATATATAGATATATATATATATAGATATATATATATATAGATATATATATATATATATAGATATATATATATATAGATATATATATATATAGATATATATATATATAGATATATATATATATAGATATATATATATATAGATATATATATATATAGATATATATATATATAGATATATATATATATAGATATATATATATATAGATATATATATATATAGATATATATATATATAGATATATATATATATAGATATATATATATATAGATATATATATATATAGATATATATATATATAGATATATATATATATAGATATATATATATATAGATATATATATATATAGATATATATATATATATAGATATATATATATATAGATATATATATATATAGATATATATATATATAGATATATATATATATAATATATATATATATAGATATATATATATATAGATATATATATATATATAGATATATATATATATAGATATATATATATATAGATATATATATATATAGATATATATATATATAGATATATATATATATAGATATATATATATATAGATATATATATATATAGATATATATATATATAGATATATATATATATAGATATATATATATATAATATATATATATATAGATATATATATATATAATATATATATATATAGATATATATATATATATATAGATATATATATATATATAGATATATATATATATATAGATATATATATATATATAGATATATATATATATAGATATATATATATATAATATATATATATATAGATATATATATATATAGATATATATATATATAGATATATATATATATATAGATATATATATATATATATATTATATATATATATATTATATATATATATATTATATATATATATATATTATATATATATATATAGATATATATATATATAGATATATATATATATAGATATATATATATATAGAGTGAGAAGTATGGAGGCGAGAGGGGAAAGGGTAAAGGGAGACAGGAGAGGGGAGTGAGAAGCATGGGGGGGAGAGGGGAGAGGGGAGAAGGGAGACAGGAAAGGGGAATGAGAAGCATGGAGGGGAGAGGGGAGAAGAGAAAGGAAAGCAGCGATTAGGGGGAGGAAAGAGTTACGAGGTAGTGAAGAGAGGGAAGTAGAGAATAAGAAAGGAGAAAGGAGGAGCGAGGTAGAGGGGAGCGGGGATGGGAAAGAGAGGGGGTTAGAAAGTGGGAATTAGGTAGATTGGAGAGGGAGGCAGGGAGTGAGGAGAGGGAGAGGGAGAGAGAAGCAGGGAGCGTGGATGTTAGAGAGATGAAGAAGAGAGAAGGATAGAGGGAAAGAGAGAAGGAGAGGAAGAGGGGGAGTAGGGAGTGGGGAGAGAGCGGATAAGTCGGGAGAGGAAAAGGGGAGGTGGGAAAGGACAGGACAGGAGATACTGATGTTGAAGAGGGGGGAGAGGGAGAGGAGAGTGTATGATATGTATAAATGAATAAGATAATATAAATAAGATTTGATAAAGGAATTAATGTTGATGTAAAAACGATCTCACTAAAGACTTACCTGATTGATTAAGAGATAAAGCTAACAGATAAGATTTTTTTTTTACTGATGGAGCGTTTACTATTACGCACATGATATTGACACAGATAGTGCAACACCCAGCACAACTAAAAAAGAGAAAACATTAGCTACTTAAATTATACCTTTAATACTACTACTAATACTTTAATACTCTATTCTGTTCTTTCAGTGGTTTGGGGCTCTCATGAGGCCTCTGGAAGTCCCCAGGATGAAGAAGAAAGACCTCCTTCAGCGCCTGGCCGAGGAGAAGCGGGCGACCATGGCAAGAGGATCCATCTGTGATCCTAACAGGGTGCGTGATGAGAAAATGGGGAATGGGAGAATCAGGAAGGCATGGGGAGAGAGGGACATGGGAATGAGGGAGGAAAGGAGAGAGAGAGCCAGAGAGGAGGTGGAGAGAGAGAGAGAGTAGATGAGAGGTGAGAGAGGAGAGGAGGGGAGAGAGAGGAGAGGACGGGGGAGAGAAGAGAGGACGGGGGAGAGAAGAGAGGACGGGGGAGAGAGGAGAGGAAGGGGGAGAGATGACAGGGGGAGTGGAGAGAGGACAGGTGGAATGGAGAGAGGAGAGAAGGAGGGGAGAGAAAAAGGAGGAGAGAGAGAGAGAGAGAGAGAGAGAGAGAGAGAGAGAGAGAGAGAGAGAGAGAGAGAGAGAGAGAGAGAGAGAGAGAGAGAGAGAGAGAGAGACAGAGAGACAGAGAGAGAGAGAGAGAGACAGAGACACAGAGAGAGAGAGAGAGAGAGATTAATTAGAACAACTATCTCTCAAGGACAGGAATTTGAAAAAAGCAGAGGCAAAGTTCAGTATATCTTATGATAAAAGGATATTAAGCAGTTAGATAAGGAATGTTTGCATCATGAGCATGTATGACATATGAATTTTGTAACTGTATTACATAATAGAAATGAATGTTCCATTGACAGGGACAATGTCAATGTTGTTCTAGTACACTGTGTTAATTAATTAGGTATGGGTGATAGACTATTAGAAATCAGATTTTTAAGATATGTGATGCTCTGTGTAGAACTAAGACCAAGCCACATTAGACTGATGAAGTTCCTTTTTAACATGTATTTTTTTTATTCATTTTTCAAAGCTTGGACTCTCGACTATTATTTTTACTTTTTAGAACAATGGGTAGGATATTATGTTCAATACTGTAGTATTCTTATATGTAAGATTAATTGTAACACTGTGTCTCACAGTGAGGGTACAGATATCAAAAAAGTAATTTGGAAGATATGGCTGTACTGATATATAAGGAAATATATATATAACTTTACCATATCAAGCACAATATTGCACCTGCAGGAGGCAAATGCTGACCCAGGAGTGCACTCCCACCTCAATC